CATGTCCTCTGCAGTTTAATTGGCACATTTTGAGTTCAGTTTTTAAAAACTTGTTTAATATTAAAAACAAATATATTCTTTAAATCTGTGTCTTTGATTATACAAAGTTGTTTTTTTTGTTTGTGGACACATATTACTTGAACATGCTTAGAAATATTCTCCAGTTTCGCTTTTGTACATCGTTTATACAAAGTCTGCTATCAAAGAATTGGTTTTAAGTTTGGAGTGTGTAAGACACGTGGCCATGGTTAGTGTTCCCGTGGAGCTATGCCGAGTTTGATTGCAACCCTTCACCTTCCCACACTCCCCTACTGTGAAGTGATTGCAGTGATACATACTGTATGCATGTTGAACTGCACATGTTCACACAATAGGCTGAGTTAAATACTTAACGAATCTAATTACCATTTCATTTTCATTAATGTTTCAAGCTGCACTACAACCTAACAAGAGTGGTTGGGAATATGTTGTATTTCAGACTAATTGGCTTGTGTGATAAGATCACATTATGTGATTAGATCTTTGAAAAACTGATACGTTCTCAGAAACTTAAAATTAATCCATTAAAAAAACACAGTTGATTTGTGGAAGCGGCCATGTTGCCCTGCCATCTTGAATACAGTATACATTTATTTATGCTTCTTTTTGCTAAATTTATAATATAATGTGTTTCAAAACAAGCATTAAACCAGTCAATCAAACTGCAAACCTACACAAGCATTGCTGAAATGATTTTTTACTGAGTTTTCACTTTCCTTCTTTTTGTTACGTGTCCAAAGCTTGGATGCAGCATTTTTCGTTGGAACACAATGCTTCAGTTGTGCAGTCGGCTAGTGTTTGACTTTTCCTTCATGATGTTTCCATGTTACAGACTGGACAGGTTAGACTCAACACACATGGTGTTACAACAACATACATAATACACATAGTGTGACTACACACAGTAATATGTTTTAAAGGGGAAAAAAAATCACAGAATTAACAAACATGGGGCTTAAGTTCTAAACGCTGGTTTTGACTTATTTTTGATTCATTTCTCATCCTTATGTGTTGTCAGATAAAAACAAAACATGTAAAATCATCCTATTTCTGATGCCTACAGTTTAATGAGGGAGATTGTCCATGTATATTCGAAAGTAACTTTATTGCTTTGACCACAGACATGTTGTCCATCATATGTAAACATGTGTAATATGTCTGTAATAATCTATAAAATTTTCAAGGTTTGGAAGCCAAAAGGCAAAATGTATCAAAACCACATTAATCTAAAAGAATCACACCGCAGATACTGTAGACGCTGAGGGGCAGGCAGAGGTGTGAACATCAGACAGAGAGTCAAATCTTCTTCTAACAATGAGGCCAATACTGTCATAACTATGTGAGATCATAAATGGCCATAATTCACGATGGAAAGAGAAAGTGAAAACGGATCTGGCTTCTGGCATCTGCTGCTGCATAATTCTCTCACAGCTGGATGAATGACGAGAGCCCCGCAAGGTGCAGGAGCAGCTGAGTGTACCTCAGCACATGCTGACAGCAGTATGTCAGTTACAGTGTATTCGTTTGATGGTTCACTAACTGTCTTGTGGCTCATATGTTGGTATAAAAATAGGAGTAATCAGTGGCTGATGCAGACCGTCATCTTAATTTCTGAACAGGAATTTTGAAAAATAGATAAAAGTTTCGAAATACTGCATTATTATAAATGTTGTTACTGTTGTGAGTGCAGCTAATCATTAAAACTTTATCACGCTTCCTAAACCAAAACCAGTGTGTGGAACAGGAACTCTGGTGCCCCGTAGCTGTTATCTGCTCTCCCTGGGGAGCACACTACCCAAAAGGTTCTAATAATTAGTTCCAACTTGCATATCAAGGCTCATCATTGGCATTACGTGCTATGACATGGGGACTCAACAACAGTCTTTACAGTGCAAAAAGCATGCAGGCTCCAGGAACAGGAACATAACCAAGATTATCCTTGTTGTTTTTGAGGATTATGCGCCACGAGTTTGTCCCCTAGGGTCAGACTGTTATCATAGAGTCATAGCATGTCCTGAAGGGTCTGAGGTAAAAAAAAAAAATTCTGGAACCAACCTGAGCTGTGGTGCATCACACTGTTCCAGTGTGTTTATGTGTAAATTTCTTTGGCTGGACCAACGCAGTCGTTGCTCATTACCAAGCCTACTCATCGGATTTAGCTCGCGGCAACTTTTGTCTCTTCACAGAAATGAAAATTAAGTAGAAGGGCCACAGCTTTGACAGGAAGCATTCTTAGCATAGACTGGAGAACTAGAAACAGTGTGCTCCTGCAGAAGATCAGTGCATAAAAGTTGCCAAATTTAAATAATGCAGTTTTTTACTTTTTACTGAATTTTTAGAGTTAAGTTATTATGAATAACTTTCAAGTTTGTCATTTGCTCAAAGCAGTACTTAGCAGCTGGTTACTTTGCTTATGCCTCAGGCAGGCCGTGATAGGAGCCTGGAGTGATAGGCACAATCCAGGTTACACACATAGATAAAACAGGAGGCAGGTCGATGTGTGAGATTCCCTCGTCCTCCAGCTACAGCATTGTCCATCTGCAACTTTTGGGGGAATGCATGTTTGTGAGAATGTTTAATAACGAATCCACCTGCATCCAGGTCACAGCAGCGATGCTGATGCAGTAAGACTTTTTTTAATTTTCCATGGCTGCTCCCGACGCTTTCAGATCTAATGTGTCAGTCTCGACCAGTATCCGTCAGTCATATTCACCCATTTGTCATCTCAGAAATGTCCGTTAGCATTTGGAGGATGGCTGAGTAAGGGTCTGGATTATATGTGTGTGTGCGTGTGTGTGTGTTTGTGTGTGTGCAGGTAATGGACTGAGGGATCTGTTTCAGACAGCAATGTAAATATCCACCATTAATATGTAGGACAGGGTAAATAAAAATGATTTATATTGCACAACAGATATTTAGTACAGCTGTATTGTATTTAACAAGTTTGACACATTGTGTCAAATACCAATTAAGACCAGTAACAATATTTGATGATTCAAATATGTGATATTCTGATATACTATTAACCGCCATTTTTTCTATCGGACATGTGAAACATAAACGGATTTCCCTAATAATTTTTATGTGTAGTTATTTACTTGACTGTAGAGTTTATAAATACTTTCGTGAGGGGTCATGAGTTTCTTGTTCACACTCTCTGCTTGGATCAGTTAGTTGTTGTGTTCCTGCTATTCTACACCTGTGTTACCAACAGGGAAGTTGCAGAGTGCCCTCTGGTGGACAAATTCTCCCACATTAAGATGGTTGAAGGGTGTTTCTTCCATCTCAATCAAATTTTAATTTATCAGCCTTTATAAATAATGACACTGATGTGTTTTGTTTTCAGTTACTGTTTGGTTACATTTATCTAGTTCGGTTGTCATAGGAAACCCCCTTTCACAGCATTAAAGGACTTCTGTCCTACATGGGGAAATTTGTTGCAGTGAAGAATTGCCCAGTGTGTTCAGATGTGGCAGTAAGGGGTCTTGTCTAAATGTCAGTATTTGGCGGATTCAAAACAAAACTCCCCTGAAAGCCAGGTGTTCAGGGTCCCAGAGAGATAAATTCATGTGAATAAAAGAGGGGGGAAGGAAAGGATGAAGGGATGAGGTAAAACAAATAATAGTGACAGCCATACAGACTGCATTGTTACAGGAATTGAAATAAAAATAATGCCGAGGAAACTAGAATCCAAATGAAAACAAATGTGCCTATTGAAAGGGACACACATGCATAGCTAAAATAAAGACATATACACATACAAATACACTCACACACATATTTATACAATAAGCAATGACAGCCTATTCTTTACTTGAAATTTCTTTCTCACTCACCTGTAAATTTTAGCTGCCTTGCTGGAATTGAATCCACTGCATACAGAACACCTTTAACGGCACCACAGCAGTATTTGAATTGTATATCCATGCTTCTTACGCTGGTGTCTCTTTAATCATTTGCCATTCTTCGCTATTAGATACGTGAAGGAAAAGCAGCCCTATATTTGCACCATTTTTACTGTGAGCAATGGCACAGTGGGCTTCAGGAAGGAGGAGGATTTGGAAAGATAACACTCAAAAATTAAGTTGTCACCAAATGAGTTTGCCTACCTGTGAGGCCCTGCTGAAACAAGGCACGGCATATGGACATAGAAGTACATTTCAAAATACTTGGCTTAACATAAAGTTTAACATACAAAACGAATGTTCAGAAGTGCTCAGTGTGTCCCCTGCACTGCATATGTCCATACGATAGTCAAACTCGCCCCATAGTTTTGCGAGCATGTCTGGAGACACTGCAGCCGCTGCTGTTGTTATGCTACCTACTGTACCAGCAACCACATGAAACTCACGAAAACTGTCTTTCTAACAGTACGTGCGGTGATCGTTACTGGTGAATTAAAGGACTTTGAAATGAGTTGATTGTTTGTCATATACCCTGTGCTTGTGTTGGGGTATTATATGGCCAGAGAGCTCCAGCAATACTTGTAGTGTACAGGACAGCTGTATTATTTGACACACACATTTCAGCTTGTGGGCTTCACCAGGTTCACCATAAAACATACTGCAGACACCATTTGAAATAGGACAAGTATAATGAAAAAAAAAAGCTAAAGCACCAGTCATATAATTCAAATACATTACACCCACATTCCATTTACATACAGCCATATGGGTTCAAGCTATTCATTGTCCTGAAGCAGTCCAATAATAATAATTATAAACATGTAAGTGGTAACTTAAATTGGAGCAGTATGTATATATATACATATAAAAAATTAAAAGCCATTAAGAACTTCTGGCTCAATTCATCTGGAAATAAACAATGAAAATTGGGCTTAACCCAAGAAAATGCTTGTAAAATTGAGGATGAAATGTTGTTTTTCATTGATATATTGAGGATCAGGCCTAGTTTTGGTAAACAAAATGATCTGTCTGTATTCTGTGTTTGTCTTTTATCAGGTGCAGGTGATGTCGAGGAGTGTGGGTTTAGGTGGCAGGATGGCAGTCGCCAAGCTCCTCCTTGCCTTCCTCTTTCTCCACTCTTTCTGTGAAGGTAAGTCCTGGCTGCGAAGAATAAGGATCTGTAAATCCACAGACTAGACTTTCATTTTGTCGAGTGTTGGTTATTAGGGAAAGGTCTTTATGCTGCATATTTTATACAGTTACCATAAATCCCTGCAGCAGTGGATGCATTTCAGTTTGATTTATGACCGTGGATAAAAAGTAGCAAATTGTGGTTTTAGTTGGCAGCTATTTTTGTGAATATGTAGAACAGTGTGAATTTGAAACTGAATAACTGAAAAGGTTTTAAATCAGTCAAACTTCCCAGAATAAAAGGCTTTAAAAAATTTATGTGGTGTCAACATTTAACTGCAGATCTACCTTTGTTAGTCAAATAAGGTATCACGAATAACTATGGGTTTTCTAGTATCTTTATCAGTTACTAGGCAAAACAGGAAGATGCTAGTTTATGTTAATTAGGTTGATAGCAGGAGTAGTTGTCCTGCTTCCTTCTCTGTTTCCTGCGCTAAATGATGCTTTCCCACACTTTTTTCCTGGCCTGTGCACCTTTCAATCCTATTTCCCATTTTTTTCTCATTATCATTCCTTCGCTCACGCTTTCCTTCTCTACTCTCCCCCACTGTCTCTTGCATAATGGCTCACATTATTAGTGTTAAGCCATAAGCACCACCAAGAAAAAAATGTCTGGTTTGCTTCCTTGCTGAGTATGAAGGCTTTTGGGGGGGGGCAGATAAAGCAAGGGAGAGCTCAGCTGTTGTGGAACGTCATGGTAACTGTCTCTCAGTGACAGGCAGGAGACACCTCCAATCACACGCAGCGCTGAAACAGCATGGAAAGTTATTAAGCGATTGTCACAACCTCTTTCCATCAAGCACAATGAGTTTATCAAGATCTTCTTTCTCTGGAGTCCTCCAGTCTCTCACTTCGCACATTTTCTTTCCGTGTTGCTCCCTCTTTCTTCTCCTCACCTTTTAAATCCCTCTCTTTCTCTTGCCTCTTCTAACTACCCCATTAGCACACTGACCTTGTGCTTCTCTTGAGCATTACCTCCCTGATCCAGCAAATTGGATTTATGATCATCATTGTGATTATTTTGTAGCTGTAATCAATCCGCATTACTTTAACCAAGCCTGGTGTAAACCACAGGTACGGACAGGAGCTTATTAACCCTCACCCTAACTATCTTCAAACCCTGTCAAGCACGCTCCATGTTCTTGGCACTTGAGCGCTAGAGGCAAGCCAGAGATGAGCATCTTCTTCTGCACAGACGGGCACATGACTGAACAAAAAGCTCGTACTTTCAAAGCACCTATTCACTCTATCAAGCACTCTCACTTCAAACAAGTTGGCCTCCCCTTTCTTTTGCTTCACTGTCTCTGTGGTCTGCCGGCTTGTTCAGCTGATCAAAGACCATCAGCGTTGTTCGCTGATCTTTCCCCCTAAAAAACAGTTTGTATTGCTCTGCCTTCTGACATTACAGAACACTCGCCAAACACGGGACGCTATTAACCCTTTAACAGGCCCTTTTAACCTGTTGTGTTGTAATGGACAATCCCTCCGATACGTAGATCTTCCTACTTTTGTCTTTGCAGATGGTTTTTCTTTTTGTTAAATTTAAGCAGTTGTCATTAAAAATTAATACAAAGAGAAGACATCAAAGATAAAGCTGCAGTGGAGCTTTATCAAAGATAAAGCTCCACTGCTCCACTACTTTTTAATTCCTTTATCTTAAAGGAATTAAAAAGTAGCTCATTTTTAAAAAGTGCAGCTATTGACGCATTTTATACCACAGTACCTACACGTTGCACTAGATGTGCACCATTAAAATTAAAAAAATATTCATGTAAAGTTTTTATAATATTAAAATAATAATAAAAAATTGTTATTTGGGCATTTAGGATAGGACACCAGGAGTCTAGACTCTGGTAGCGATTGTGGGACAGGTGGTAGACATGTAGGACACAATATGAACGATTCACCATCAAAGACCAGGGAAGAGAAGCTGATTGGATCATAAAAGGCAGGCGAGAAGAAAATTGGATGAGTGACGATAACAAAATCAAGGATGAGGAAAGACTAGCCCTGTGATAGACTGGCGATCTCTCCAGGATGTATCCCGGCCCACATCCATTAACAGCTAGGATAGGCTCCAGGTACCCAGTGGCACTGAGAAGGATAAGCAGTTGAGAAAATTGAGGGAGAGATTTGGGAAGCGAACACGGACAGAATAGCAGGAAAAACCCAAACACCCAACTTGCACAAAAGCTTCCTTGAGGTTATTAAAGAAAGCTTTGATTACAAAATCCAAGATAAATGGTGGGAAAATAGAAAATGTCCAAAGTTTGATTTTGCAGTCAAATCAAAGTTTAATGCTGCCTGCAAGACTAACATCATGAACTGAACACACAGCTGTAGTGCAGTTTGATTTATAGACATTCATATTATGATGTTTGCTGTATAAATATTTGAGAGGGAGAGAAATCAAAACATGCTGTTGCCCCTTTTTTTATTTTAACAAAAGCAGCTATGTGCAAAAATATTACAGGAAGACCAATCAGAGACCATGAGCAACACTTGCTATTCATGAATTCTCAAATTCATCAAAGCACATTATTATTTTTTGATAAAAATGGCAAATTGCAGTTATTACTTAAATTCGTGAACATTAAAAATGCTTTTAGTGGTAAACTTCTGACTTCTGAGAGAAGAAGTTAACCTGGGATTAAAAGTTCAAGTTTTTAATAGATTTCTAAAATATTCTTTTTGTTGTTTTTAGGACAAGTTTTCTAAAAAAAAAAAGTGAAATGTATCTTGAATTGTTCTGTTCTCCCCAAAGGCTCCAACCAGCCACCACGTTTCCTGAACTACTTCTTCTCGACCTACCTTCTCATCTATGAAGACACACCTATTGGTGAGTAGATTCAGCACACATCAGTACATTTTTATACTTCGTATTTTGAAAATGTACTTTTTGTGACATTTTTGTTTGGCAGTGTGATTTTTCTAATGTAAAATATGTGCTGTGGCTCCAAAAGGCTGGGATACACTGTTATGTGTGATGCATCTACAAGGTCTAAAGTAAGTTAGTCTTTGTTTTGGCTTCGTCGCTGTACTCGCTGCACAGATATGTTCCGTCCTCTCTTCCTTGAATACAAATCGCGGAAGAAAAAGCAAGTCAAGAGGAATGTCATAAAAAACGCTGACAGTGATGGAAATGGATGTCCGTTATCATGATGCGTGTATATGTATGAGTCTGGTTGTCTGAATGATTCTTTATGCTATATAATATTAAGCTTGCACAACAGCTCCTCTTGATGTTGATGTCTGAAAGAACTCGTCCACATCGGGTACCTTTGTGTGATTATAAGCTTGTTCATTACGTGTCCCACTAGTTTTGGCTCTATTATACCCTGTATTTATTTTCTCTTTTTTTTCCATGTCATTTCTGTTGGTTGTGGTGATTGACAGGGCAATTTGAAGATGTCAGGCTTTTCATCATCTCTGAGGGTGTCAGTGGCTTGGAATTAAAATCCTTTATAGTGGATTGATTTTCTAGGAGTTTGTTTTTTATCACATGACCTTTACACTCTACCAGTCTGTCAACACTCCTAGTCTGAGTCTTAAATTGTTCACTTATGTCTACACCCTGAGAGCTGTTTTCTGCGAGTGGTTGCATGTCACGGGCATTGTCTTGCGTTTTTAAAATGCACCATCAAGCTGTCAATGTCATCTCCAGTGTCATCATCTCAGTTAAATGTTTTGTACTATAGCCAGGACAGACTACTGTATCCCACAATAGGACCTACTGTAAATCTGCATAATCATGACCTCAAACACCGTTGCCCTCAATAGTTGCCTGGTGTGCCATATTTATCCAAAAGGACAAAGTCGGTTCTGGCGGAAGGCCATCTCTTCATAAACTCAGCTGCTGTTCTAACCAGTGAAGGGCATGGATATGTTAGTGGGTGGCATTACTAATTTCCCTAACTACTCCATTCCACATTCCAATTGCTCTTAGGCCATGAATTATTGTCCTCCTCTCAAGCAGCTGGACGTTGGTACAGCAACGCCCTCCATTGGTTTAGAGAGCTGTCAGTCATGTCCTTGGCCCGGTCTGTAATGGCTTACTCAGTAATGTGATTGTGAAGCCGGCTTGAATGATCAGACAGTGACAATTTGTCAAGATTATCGTTTATTAGCTCAGCAGATGTCCTCCTCTAGGAGGCCTTCCAATTCATAAACACGTAAACACACAAATGTACTCACACAACCACACGAGCCTATGAGTCAAATGTTGGTGTGTTATGTGAGGAAAGGATGTGACCTAGTGAATAATAGCTTAAGATTCTTTTTCAACCTAAACACCTACAAGTGTAGGTGTACAGAAGCAATTACAGCTGCACTGGATTGACGTTACGCTTGCTTTTCATTTGAATAAAAGGCCATAATGAAAAAGAACCCGCATATTTTCTCATCTCAAGGTTCGGTGCAAAGATTGTGCAAAGAATAAAGAAGTGTTAAATTGGCCTTTCAGGGCACAGTGGAGTCGATTTAATCATATTCAAAACTTAATATGTTCCTCTGTACTTCATTAGACCATTATTTTCACACAAATTTGATGAACGTAAATGAGCACCTGTCTGGCTGACTGGAAGCCAAACTGCTCAACTTGAGCGCAATGATCAGGTTTCCACAGCCACAGTGATTGGTTACATTCGGTTACCATGGAGGTTGCTGGATTAAGTCATTGTGGTGGTGTAACAGTGGTTCGTGTGAGCGGGCTGTCTGAGATGACACCAAGAATTAGTATAACAGGTACAAGAAAAACAGCCTGGGAAAATTGCTGTACATGGATACTCGTGGAGACACTTAAAATCCCTTTTATTTGGCCTTGTCTTTTCAGCAGATCGGTAACTTCAGCACATGGCCTCTAAGTCAGTATCCTCATGCCTTCGTACACCATGCAAAAACACATTCAATACAATATTAATCAGGCAGATGAGGGAACACATCCAAACATGGATATTTCACTCACTTCTCTCCTCCTCTCAGCAGCAAGGGATTTGATTTGGGAACTGGCACAAGTTGTTTGAAGGATGCTGCGCAGATGTGTGCTGAAGATGCATATGTAACACAGTGGGATTAGGCTGTGACTTGGTGTGAACTCACACAAGTGACATATACTGTATACTGTCAACATACTGGCTGGTCAAATGACTCCGGGGACAACGGCTAACTTGTGGGCGCTTCCAATATAGTCGGTGAGCCAAATCTTCCTGCTACGTGCTCTGACCATTTTGAATAAATAAAATTTTGCTTTTAGGAAGCAAAATTGTGGTCAGGTGATAGACAGTAGTTTTGAGATTATATTTCAGCAACTACAGTTCTTTTTGCACCAAACACAAACGCATGACTGGTCAGCAGAAATCAGTCTGCAAGCAAACAGAAACCAGAAAGCTTGTTTCTTTCCTACGCTTTCTTCTTCAGATTTCTCCTTATACTGATTATTTTGAGTCCAACAGAGGTTCCATTGTTTTTCATGCCCAAAATAAGAACAATTTCAGTTTAAAACACGAGTGAGGAGGACCCAGGAGAAATCTTTTGCCCACCCTGGCATGAACGATGCTTGTGATTATGTTGCATTAGTGGTCTGCTGTACACTGCAGTTATACAGTGATACATGTTATAACATATATTTTAATGTTTTGTTTGGAACCAAATCCTCTCCGCATTTATGTTCAGTCTCTGCATGTCCGTGTGTTTGTGTGCGCATCTCTGTTTAGTTCGAGTCTACATGTGTTCACATTCAGTGACTTTTATTCATTTATTTATTTTGTCACATCCAGGCAGTGCGATCATTCAGTCTTGGAGGGGAGGGCAGCTAAACAGAAGAGCTGGTGTTTAAATGCAATGGCAGATAACAGTGTGTGTTGTGTCAGGAAATGGGATGTGTAATTAGACAGAGAGAACACTTTGATTAAATGCTCTCATCTCCTAATCCACTTTGCCCTGATTCGGCAGATTAAGCTCTCTACTATGTAATTAACTTGTGGAAACACAACATTTGTCGCAAAAACTTCCACACTCTGCTGGGAAGGTTGGTGTATGTCTTGTAGTTTATGCCAATTAAGCAAAAGGCTTTGCTGCCTCGTTCTGTTCAACAATTTGGCTTGTGCTTTAACCTCATGCCAACCCATGATCATTTATGTGGGATAAGGTTTTTTTATAATCATTCAAAATAATTTATTTTCTTTTTTTTTTTTTTTTTACCAAGGAAGTGAGAATCCTCAGAGGTCCAAGAAAACAACAGGAGATAAGCTTCTGTGTGCTGTTTGCATGAATGTAGGAGATGTGTTTCTGAAGCAACCCTTTGAGTTATTGTAAGTTGATCATATTCATCATCAACCTGAACAGAGAAAAAAGTCTTTATTTCCTATAGATCACATAATGGACATACATGACTGGCATATATGATATATATGCCAGGTTTTTTATTAGCCAAACTAGATCTTCCTATCTTACAGTGTATTTTCTTCTTTCTCATGTTTTCTGTCTGATTTTAGAAGAAGCTAAACGAGACCTGAAGCATGGCTCTTCGAGTCACTTTCCCCCCCTCCCTCTCTCCTTTAGTCTGCATGAAGGATGTAGAGCCATAGCTGCATCTCCCATTACCAGGACACTATTAAAACAATTAAAATAACAACCTTCTGTCAGAACGTCTTCCCTCTCCCGTTTCTCTCTTGCTCTCCTCTGCACCCTCACATTCCTCGACTGCCACAGTAAATACCTTGCACTTTTAATTAGCTCTGTGGCGTACCCAATTCAATAATAATTAAAGAGCAAGAGGTAGCCCCAAGGAAGAACTTATTAAAGTGTTCCCCTAAATGTGTTGATAATGTCTGTGTACTCTCCCCAGCCAATTCCCCACTGTCAAGCATGCTCTGCATTAACTGTGGCTCGTCAACTCTCTGTTTTCTGGACACTGTCTCTTTCTCAGCCTTCTAATTCGGTCGATCGGCTCTGTCAGCTTGCCCGCATGCATTGAAAAAGCGGTATTTATAATTTTTGTGGGTTGTTGTGGGTTGATGGTGTCCTAATGTGAATGGTTTTTATTTTTACTGGATCAATACTTTTTGATAGAGTTGTCTTTATCTGACATCTAAAAGCAAGTGTTTGAACCGGCATAGACAAATTTGGTATTAAACAGGTCATGGCAGGGGCAATTGTGGAATCAAGCATTTAGATTTAGGGGAGCTCAGCCCCCAATCATAGTGTGCTTGAAGTTAATATAAAGGGTTAAAGGGAATATGCTGTTGGCACATGTTGTCAACTTTCTGCAACCTAAATAGTTGTATTACCTATTATAGTGTCTCTGAATCATTCAGAAAAATAATCCCAGATTTCAATAACACACCCGTTTTAGGGTGCACCCTTATTGTCAAACCTAAGACAAATATCATGTTGACAAGAATTTTCTACAGCCAGTTAACTATTTGTAGTAGAGGAGATGCAATATCAAAGGAGAAACATGCACAACATTATACCAGTTTCTTAACCACATACAGGCACTCAACCAAGTCATCAACGCAACATTATTCAGATATTTAAAAAAAAACAATCTATCATAAACCTGGACTTGTTCAATTTTGCAAATCTTTATTGTCAGGTTGTCCTAAAAAGTCCCAGTGTAATGATATAAATATAGTGAATGTGGTCAAAACAGAAGATACTTTGGATTTATAACTATGCGGTTGATTTTGACTCTTACTTCTTTCTTTTTGCTCTCTCTCTCTTTTGCTGTCACCATCCTGCTCTCATTCTCTTCCTCTGTGCCCTTGTGCTGTTAATAAAAAGATAAATGTAACACTGAAAAAACATTCCAACTCAATAAAGGCATAATTTGATTCAAAT